TTAACCCTTGGTTTCAGACGTGAGTTGCAAATAATGTTTCCATTTTGTCTTCATGTTTTTGGTTGAATCGTATGTGTTGCCCTGCTGAAGTTTTCTTCCTGTCCTCAGGTTCATCAGTTTTTCCTTTATGATTTTTAGTCGTAGTAAGGTCTTTTCTGCTTGGAGGTTTTAAAGGAACTCTCCCAGGTTCTCTTCTAGAACGTTTACGGTTATATTTTTCACATTTAAATATTGAATCCACTTGCAGCTTATCCTCTGTTCTTTGGCAGGTTTATCCAGTTGTCCCCAAATCCCTTAGTAACGAGACCATGTTTCCCCCACTGGTTAGAGATGCCCCTTCCTTTATCACCTGCCAAATTCAAGGAGACTTCAAAAGTGTCGCGTCTCAGAAACTCTTTTGTGAGCTTCTCTCCTGCTCTGCTTTCCAGTGTCCATTCCCCCCACATGCCCACCCAAGACTTCTTCCCACTTAAGATGCCAGTGGCTCCTCCTCAGAACTTCCTGTGGGAGGCAAGTCCGATGGGCTGTGCTCTCTGGGGGCAGGTGAGCCCCCCTGGTGTGGCGAGGGCTTTGATCATCTCCCAGGCACCAGGCTTGTTAAGGCATCAGCTGTGAAGGAATTCAAGTTGCAAGCAAAAGGCGGCATCCTTGCTTAAATATGAATCACTTGGCTCATTTGCAAGTGTGGCTGGAATTAGGGTTCCTTATAACACGGGTAACTGAGAACAGTTTCTCCAGGGGTGTGGAGAGCCAGGAATTAGGTTCAGAGATTGAGAGGAAACCTAAATGTTTATATCCCTCTCTGCTTGAGACACGCTAGTGTTCTAAGGGTCCAGAGAATGATGTTACTCAGTTCTCCTTCCCCAGTCCTGCAAGGCATTGGGCTTCCTCATGTGGCCTCCTCACTTAGGATGCAACATCTGGACTCACCAGCAACTCTCCTCCCTCCAGGCAGGGGACCTTCAGCTCCAGGATTGCTGGCCTCAGGTTGGACGCTGATTGCCCCCAGTCTGACTCTGGTCCGGAGAGCTGGCCTCCCCCTCGCAGGGCAGGGGTAGGCTTGGAAGGCTGACCCCCTCTACAACCAAGGATGGGCGTGTGGTGGCTGTGGTCAGTAATGAGCCAGCAGGGATGTGGCTGTGGCTAGCGACTGTGACAGCCCTGGTTGGGTCAGCGAGCATTTTGCTGAAGGCCTGTGCTAGCGGCTGAGAAGGCGAGCCATAGAGCTGAGCCTCGTGAAGATCATAAGCACCAAGTTCAAAGGCCTGGCTCCCTTTCTCTCTCTCCCTGGGCCAGATCTGTGTCCTCTCTACACTTCAGTTTCTCCAACAGTCACGTGGGTAGGAATAGGGCTTCTGCGGATTAAATGAAGTAACGTGAGGTTGCTCCTGGCAGGCATTCGGTAAATGCGAGCAAAGACCCTGCCCTAACGAAGATGTTCTCCGCTCAGCCGAGCGAAATGCCAGAATGGGGGTCGAGAAAAGTGAAGTGGAGTGGTGGTTGTCAGTACAGACACAGGCAGATTGGACTGTTGCCTTCCAGATTCTTCTCCTGGTCTTGGGAACCTTTTCTTGGGGAGACCAGAGAAAGCTCTGGCTCTGGGAGTTGTTGAGCGGGCAGGAGGCAGGGTCGTTAACCTCTCTCATCCTGTCTTCCCTCTTAGGAATGTGTGTGACTTGACCCTGCTCTCAACCCCTGGGCCCTCTGTCTCCTCCTGCAGGTCAGGGTAGGAGCGGTCCAGTTCAGTTCCGCTCCTTGGCTGGAATTCCCCTTGGACTCCTTGTCAACCCAACAGGAAGTGAAGACAAAACTCAAGAGGATGGTTTTCAAGTATGTACGCTCAGATTCTGCCCTGGCCAGGCTGCGGCTGGCTGCTCTGAAAATCGCTCTTGAAGGGTTTGGCCCTGCCCTTGGCCTCCCAGAGAGGGCTGGGGTGTCCAGATTCCCAGCTGTGCTTTCTGGGTAACGAGAATGCCCCTCTCAAGGCTGCCCCTGTTACCAGATGATGCCCCGGGTGGGAACTTAGATGCACGTTCAAAAAAAGTATTTGCTGCTATTATGTGCAGTTGTCAGTTACCTGGGAGAAAGGGCCGGTGAAGGTCAAGACCAGCATTAAGAGCAAGTGTTACAACACTGGCTCTTTCTCCCAGTCTGTCTTTGGTGACTGCTACAGCTCGAAGAGCTCACACACTTCTCAAAGCCTCATTCTGTGGTTTGTCTAAAGCAGCGGTTCTCAACCTGTGGGTCGCGACCCCTTTGGCGGTCGAACGACCTTTTCACAGGGGTCGCCTAAGACCATCCTGCATATCAGATATTTACATGACGATTCACAACAGTAGCAACATTACAGTTATGAAGTAGCAACGAAAATAATTTTATGGTTGGGTCACAACATGAGGAACTGTATTTAAAGGGCCAGAAGGTTGAGAACCACTGGACTAAAGAGTAAGTGCTCCTGTACTGTTGAGAGTGCTTTGAAATGATGAGTAGTTGTTCGTGTGCTCAGACACACGCACACCCTATAAACGGATGGATGTAGTGGGGCCATAACTTTACTTACAAGTCAGATGATGTGTGTGTATATGATGTGTACATAGGCACACATGTATATACATATAGTTCTTGTGTAAATGTTTTTACATGTATGTTGCGTATGCACGTAAACATATACATCTCTGCATTTGAATGTTATACACACACATACTAGGTACACACACACACACGTAATTTATAAGCCCTCACAGAAGACTGCCTTTCACTTGCCACTGGTCACTCTGATCTCTGCTGCCCCTTGCACCAGTGTCCACTGAAGTCCGTGCTCCCATTTCTAGATGTCGCCTCCAGGTGCAGAGGCCCTGAGCCCTGAGGCCCTTTATCCAGGCACAGGCTCCTGTAGGTGCACCAGTGCTCTCCACAAGCCTAGATCCCCGCACTGGGCACAGCAGGAACTGCCCCCGGGATCCCCAGTGACTTTGTCTCAGGCCGTTTGTCCCAGCCCTTTCCTCTGTCCATGGGCGCCCTGCACAAATGAGGGGCAAGTCAAATACAAGACAGTACAAAGGGAAGAGCACCTTGATATCAATCTGTAAAAACTACACTGGCCTTTCCTTGTTCCCTTGGAGCCCTCTACCCTTGAGGCCCCCAAGAATGGTTTCCTATAAAAAAAAAGTCATAGCCTCACCCCCATAACTTGGGCCCAGGCACCCAGAGCAGCACTTTTCATAGTGAGCTCATAGAGCGACCTGGGTCAGTATTGCTGAGGGAAGTCTGTTAAAAATGCAGGTGCCTGGACCCCCTCCCAGACCTACTGAACTGCTCTCTGGGAAGTGATGTTCAGCACTGCACTTTTAAAAGTTTTCTCCCTACTACCTCTGACTTTTTAAAAACAGCATTATGGAGATATACTTTAAATATTATAAAGTTCACACATTTAATGTGGACAAGTCAGTGGTTCTGAGTGTATTTTCAGAGTTATGTAACTACTAGAGGCCTGGGGCCAATCGGGGCCGGCCAGGGGGAGGGATCGCGGGAGGTTGGCCAGCGCAGGAGGTTGGCTGTGGGAGTGCACTGACCACCAGGGGACAGCTCCTGCGTTGAGCGTCTGCCCTCGGTGGTCAGTGCACGTCATAGTGACCCGTCGACCGGTCGTTCGGTCAACCAGTCGTAACGGTCATTTAGGCTTTTATATATATAGATTCCCATAATCTAATTTTAGAACATTTTCATCATCCCAAAAGAAATCCAGAGAAGATATATAAATGGCCAATGAGGACATGAAAAGATATTCAACAGCATTAGTCATTAAGGAAGTGCAAATCAAAACCATAGTGAAATATCACTTCATACCCACTAGGAAGGCTAAAATAAAAGACAGACAGTGACGGGTGTTGACAGGGATGTGGAGTCCTCATGCATGGTTGGTGGAATTATAAAATAGTGCAGCTGCATTGAAAAACAGTTTGGCAGTTTCTCAAAATGTTAAATATAGAGTTACCATATGACCCTGCAACTTCACTTCAAGAGAATTGAAAACATATGCCCACACAGAACTGTATACCCTATGTTCCATAGTAGCATTGTTTATAATGGGCAAAAAGTGGAAATAACACAAAAGTGCAATGGATAAACAAAATGTGGCATATTCATACAATGGAATATTATTCAGCCATAAAAAGGGATGACGTGACTCATGCTACCACATGGATGAACTTTGAGAACATTATGCTAAGTGAAAGGAGCAGACACACAAAGTTACATATTGTATAATTTCATTTTTGTGAAACGTCTGAAATTGGCACATCTCTGGCAACAGAAAAGATCAGTCATTGCCAGGAGCTACTAGTATAGGGAGAGGGCATGGGAAGTGACTGCTAATGGGTATAGAGCTGTTTGGGGTAATAAAAATGTTTTGATTTAGATAATAGTAATGGTTGAATAAGTCTGTGAATGTACTAAAAACTACTGAATTGTATACGATAAAAGGGTGAATTTTATGGTTTATTATTATTGATATAATATTATTATAAAAACTTGATATCCATTATATGTACACTAACATTTGCAGGGGAAAAAATAGCTTGTTGGATTAAGTTTAGGACTGAAAGTCAAAAACTGGGTGACTAACTCAAATGATTTGGCCCTGTTCTCTTCTAAAAAATGAAGCCAATTGCAGCAAATTGGTTCAAAAAGTCCCTTTTAGAGATCACATAGGATCTACTCCAATTCTTTACTTGAGGAGGGAGGAAGCTGAGGTTGAGAAGGAGCAGGTGGCTTGGCCAGGACCAGAGTCACACCGTCCAATAGGCCCCACCCAGCTGCCCATTCCCACTTCTCGCTCCTCCCACCCCAACCCCCTAAGTAGCTGGGATCCTCCTCTCAGCTGTGGTGAAAGTGGTTGCTAAGGGCTGGAGAGTATTCTTCATGACGTAAGAGATACAGAGCTGCGTTAGGAACGCGCCACGTGAGGACACAGGAGGTGGAGAAGGAAGCCTCTGTGTGTGTCTGCACACGGTCCGCTTCTGTTTTGGGGATGATGGCGGTTAGCAGTGTGCATCCTAGGATAACTATGAGAAACAGGGCAAGGGGTGGTAACGAACTTTTTGGCCACAGTTGCAGGGTCACTGAGGACATGAAGCATGAAGACACTAGGATTCATCAGAACAGAGGAATGTTGGCCGAATGGGAAGGATGACCTCCCAGGGCTCTTCCCCCTTTTTCTTTCATTTTTTAAAATATTTTTTTATTTCAGAGAGGAAGGGAGAGGGAGAGAGAGGGAGAAACATCAATGATGAGGATCATTGATCGGCTGCTTCCTGCACGCCCCCTACTGGGGATCGAGCCCGCAAACAGGGTATGTGTCCTTGACCGGAAGCGAACCCAGGACCCTTCAGTCTGCAGGCTGACGCTCTCTCCACTGGGCCAAACCAGCTAGGGCTCTTCCCCCTTTCTCTACAGAGAAGTTTTCAAGGCTGGCCTGAGGGGAAGAGCTTTACCTAAAACCCAGAACACTTACCTTCTAGACCAAGGCGATTCCCTGAAGGTGTGTGTTGAGGTGGCTAAGAAACCACCCTGACACGTTGCAGTAAGAAGCTTAAAAAATATCACAGCCGAGCCTTTCAATACTGTGCCCGGTGATAACATAAGTCAGATAAACCATGGCCAGCAATTGGCTCTGAATGTCCAGAACTCTGGCCGGCTGGGCAAGCTCACGCAGTCATTTCATTCACCGCCCAGTAACACCACTGGCAGTTTCCTGTGATTGGCCTGAAAATCCATTGTAGTGAGGCATTATTTTCTGCCCGGTTGACACAGAGAGACAGCAGGCCTCCCTCTGAGGGCTGGGACGAGCCTCCTTTTGGGAGGTTTAGTAGAGATTCCGCACTGGGATTCGAAGCTCGTCGACAGTCCGTGTAACTGGCCTGTAAGGTTACAGACTCTTAGCGTCCCAATGAGCAGGGACCATTGTGACCTGCCCTGATCTGGAAGCAAACTGCAGCCTCCACCACCTGACCCTGAACTTGGCAGTGGGCCAGGAAGGTCCGGTCATGGCAAGGACCCCAGGGAGATGTTGAGCCATAACAAGAAGGGGATGACACGGGTGGGGCCATGGGAGGTGGGTGGTAGACAGACGATGGGAGTTGTCAGCCATCCGTGGGGCAGACCCAGAGAGTGACATTATTACCTAAACCACAGAGCTGTGCGGGGTGCATCTTACAGACCCAGAGAGTGACATTATTACCTAAACCACAGAGCTTACGGACCCAGGAAAAGTTCATGTCTGTTCATAATTGTGGTTTAGAGGGTGAGCAAGTGCATCTCTCTTGGTAGGAATCGTCACTCTGAGCTCCTGCCGGGGGAATGTGGCTGTCACTACAAATGGAGGAGCCGTTGTCTGCCAACGTCACCTCTCTGGGTCACTAACCATATTTTGTGTTTTCCTCCCGGGTGAGCTCAGAGGAGGGCGCACCGAGACAGGCCTCGCTCTGAAATACTTTCTGCGCAGAGGGTTCCCCGGGGGCCGAAATGCCTCTGTGCCCCAGGTCCTCATCATCATCACGGACGGCAGGTCCCAAGGACAGGTGGCACTGCCGGCCAAGCAGCTGCAGGAGAGAGGGGTCACTGTGTTTGCCGTGGGCGTGCACTTTCCCAGGTAAGAGACTCGGACACCTGGGTCAGCCCTTTGGGGCAGGGTTGGGGTGGTGGGGGGACCGTGGTGCGGCTGGGAGAGCTCACAGCCGCAGGAGAAGGGGCGGTGGAAACACGGTGCTGGTTCAGGTGGGATCTCTTTTCTTCCCTTGTCTTGTTGCCGGAGCACAGGGAGCTCTGAGTCTGCAAGTCTGAGCCTCTGCATTGTCTTTCCTTTCGTCTAAACATTTGGTTTTAAGTGCCTGAAACGGACTCGAATTGATTTGGGCAGAAATGGAAAGTCACCTAACTGCACTGGTGGGTCAGGGGTCTCTTGGTGTGAGCAAGAGGGGCCAGGGACTTGAATGTCCCCCCACCCCCCCAGCTGCTGCCCTCAGCCTGGCGCTCTCAGGAGCTGGAGCTGTGGCTGCCAGCAGAGGCCGGCTCACATCTTTTAGTATTTATGGAGCCCCCTCTGATGATTCTCATCTCTGGCTAAGCATCTGTTTTGCAGGGAGCTTTTAAGAAAGTCTGTGGCTGGGTGGGGTCAGGCAGAGCTGCCCCCCTGAGCGTGAATGTGAGCGCAGAGCTGAGAAGCCCCCCTGTGTGTGCCAGGCCCTGCCCTGGGCACTGGGAGAAATGTCCAGTTTCTATGGCTTCAGGAGAGAATAGGGAATTTTACGTAAGTGGATTTTAAAAGTTTTTTTTATATATTTTATTGATTTTTTACAGAGAGGAAGGGAGAGGGATAGAGTTAGAAAGATCGATGAGAGGGAAACATCCATCAGCTGCCTCCTGCACACTCCCCACTGGGGATGTGCCCGCAACCAAAGTACATGCCCTTGACCGGAATCGAACCTGGGACCCTTGAGTCTGCAGGCTGACACTCTATCCACTGAGCCAAACTGGTTAGGGCCGTAAGTGAATTTTAGAAATCAATGAAATTGTTGCCATGTTGCCAAACCTTGGCCTACGTTGGTGGGCAGGATTCTAAATGCATTGCCAACTGCCCTGTCTTCTTAGCCTTTTCTTCACGCCCCCACGTCCTTGTGCTGCTCATCGTTTTTGTCCTGGGCCCTGAATGGTGCCCTCTGGCTGTCTGTGCTGGCTCCCTCCTAGATGGGCTCCCAGTGCTGGCCTTGGAGTCCTTACGTTCACTGTTTATAGTTCTTTTGTATTTTTTTTCTTTCTTTTTAATACGTCTTTATTAGTTTTTATCGGGTTTGGCTCAGTGGATAGAGCGTCGGCCTGCGGACTGAAGGGTCCCCCGTTTGAGAGAAAGAGAAACATCAGTGATGAGAGAGAATCATCGATCGGCTGCCTCCTGCACCCCCCCACACACTGGGGATCGAGCCCACAACCCAGGCATGTGCCCTGACCAGGAAGCAAACCTTTGACCTCTTGGTTCCTGGGTTGATGCCCAACCACTGGGCCACACCAATCAGGGCACTTCTGTATTTTTTTCTATTGCCAGCTGTCCTTGTTGGTTCTTTTCTTGCCTAGAACCAGTCTCCTTCCTTTCTTTCTGGTTCAATTATTCTCATCAGCTATAGTCACAGAACCAGACGGTGAAATCTGTCAGGACCATGTCTGACATAGGAGGCGACTGTTTGAGTGTGAGGCTCTCCCCGGCCCGTGGAGGTCCGTGGACGGTAGCACGCACACATTATGACCCATGGCCGAGTGTCCTCGAGGTCATTCTGAAGTTCACTTCTGGATGTTCCCTGCATCCTGGAGGGATGAGGTTGCAGTGAAGTGGCTTCCGTGGCAGTGGGGGGCGGTGGGGCGGGGTGTTGCCCATGGGCTAGAAGCCGGGAGGGCAGGCCGAGGGTGGGTTGGGAGTGACAAGGCATGTAACCTCTGCTGGGGGCTGGGCCCAGGTGGGAGGAGCTGCACACGCTGGCCAGCGAGCCCAGGGAGCAGCACGTGCTGATGGCCGAGCAGGTGGAGGACGCCACCAACGGCCTGTTCAGCGCCCTCAGCAGCTCCGACTTCTGTACCTTCGCCTCTCCAGGTACGGCCTTCCAGGCTGGCCCATGTGCAAGTGGGGTGTCTGTGGGATGCAAGTGGGGTGTGGGGTGGGGAGGGTTCCCCTAGCATGAGGTAAGCACTCAGGAGCCTCCCCAAGGAGGGAGGGTGAGAGGAACGGGGTCCCACAGCCTCAGCCCCAGGGCTCTCTGCTGTGTCCTGTGTCCATGTGGGATTCTCAGCTGGAACCTGGAGTTTGTCTCCATGGGGTAAAGGGGCCCAGGGCTTGGGAGCACGGGGGGCCCCTGTACCTGTCCCCTGCTTCGGGGGAGGAGCCAAGTCGGCGCCCCCACTGTGGTCAGCCAATGGCCTCTGCAGCCCGGGGCCAGGTGTCTGCATGAGTAGTCGCCTCCGTCAGGGTCCCCCAGGAGCTAGAGCGAACGTGTTATAGGAAACACGCATGTGTGCACGGGATGTGGAAGCTGTGCAGGGCAGGGCCTGTGCAGAGGAGGTGCCCAGAGACCGGCGCCCAGCAAGGGGCAGAGCAGAGCCCCTCCCCCGTGTGCTCTGCCCGAGAGGCAGAAGGTGGCAGCAGGGCTGGGCGTGGGGGACCTCAGTGCGGGAGGAGGCGTAACCCTGTCTTCTCCGTCGGTGTGTGCTGTGGACACAGACTGCAGGGTCCAGCCTCACCCCTGTGAGCGCAAGACGCTGGAGACGGTCAGGGAGCTGGTCGGCAGCGGCCTGTGCTGGAGAGGATCGCGGGGGACCGATGGTGTGCTGGCTGCCCCCTGCCCCTTCTTCAGGTTTGTCCTGTGGCCTGGGGTCTGAGCTCAAGGGCACGTCCTGGCTGTGGGTGGAGGTCCCCAAGGCCAAGCGCTCGGGTGTTGCGGGGTTTGGAGGAGTGCAGGGCTGGGGAGAGCCGGGTATAGGGAGGGTCATTGACGCACCACCTGGGTGCCCAGGGTGAGCAAGGGTGGCAGGGTCACGGCCATTCTAGAGGCTGGTAAGGGAGCCATGAGCTGGGCCTTCGGGCCGTGCTCTGCACCTGGGATGGTGACCTGGTGACTTGGTTCCTCTGAGCACCAGTCTCCACGTTTATGGGGGCCTGAGTGAGGCAAAAGGCTTAGGTCCTGGGTGATTCGTGTGGTGGCCCCGGGGGGATGCTGGGATCCTCAGGGCCAGAGCTCAGGCATTCTAGAGCAGCGGTCACCAACCTTGTGGACCTCATGGACCCCCAGTGACCTGCAGACCACCGGTTGGCGACCGCTGTTCTAGAGCACCTGCTGCCTGGCCTGTCCCTCACAATCCCTGGCCTGGCCTTCGGCACTGTCCACACCACCTCCAGTACAGCCCTTGGCCACTCAGTCTCCTTCTCTCTCCATTGAGGCTCCAAGGGTCACAGTTGAAAACTATAGAGTTACCATCTAATGCAGTGGTTCTCAGCCTTCTGGCCCTGTAAATACAGTTCCTCATGTGACCCAACCATAAAATTATTTTCGTTGCTACTTCATAACTGTCATGTTGCTACTGTTGTGAATCGTCATGTAAATATCTGATATGCAGGATGGTCTTAGGCGACCCCTGTGAAAGGGTTGTTCGACCGCCAAAGGGGTCGCGACCCACAGGTTGAGAACCGCTGATCTAGAAGAAGGAACTGAAGACCAGAGAAGGAAAGTAACTTGCCTGGGGTCACACAGCCAGCCAGTCCCAGAAAGGAACTTGTAATAGAAAGCTGTTCTCACCGCTCAGAGTTTTGAACACAGATATCTCTAACTTCTGACATGACAGCCAATGTACATTACCTTTTTTTTTAAAATTGTCTCTGGGTAGCTTCAACCATCCCCTACTCTGTGTGCATGTAGAAGCTGGGGTAGAAAGAAAACAAGGAAGTCTCTCTTGACTAGTGTCTGCATTGGAATTTTATACCAGCTTCATGGTTTGTTTGTTTTTAATATATTTTTTATTGATTTCAGAGAGGAAGGGAGAGGGAGAGAGAGAAACATCCATGATGAGAGAGAATCATTGATTGGCTGCCTCTTGCACACCCCCTACTGGAGCCTGCAACCCAGGCATGTGCCCTTGATGGGAATAGAACCTGGGACCCTTCAGTCTGCAGGCTGATGCTCTATCTACTGAACCAAGCCAGCTAGGGCAGCTTTGTGTTTTAAGTAACCTTCCTGGTGTCTGTCCTCCTGTTAACCCTTTGATCTCTACTGTCTGTGTCCTTGGATTGCAGCTGGAAGAGAGTGTTCTTAACCCACCCTGCCACCTGCTACAGGACCACCTGCCCAGGTACAGTCCGCCCTTTGGATTCTCCTGCTCGGCCTGGGCCCTGGGACGAGGCTGGTGTCTTACCTGTTGTGGGCTGTTTGCTTCGTGTCGGGCTCTGTCCTAAGACTTCCCGTGGATGAGTTCATGCAATCCTCGCAAGAACACTGTGGGGCCAGTTCCGGCGTCACCTTCTTAGATGAGGATTCTGGAGCTTGGAGGGGCTAGGAAGGTGCCTGAGTGAGTGGAGGAGGCACTTTCCGTAACTCCAGGGTCCAAAGGCTCGCAGTGTGGCTGTGCAGCCTGCAGAGGCTGCTAACAACCCACGTCGAACGTCAGAAACAGCACCATCCCCCCTGCAGCGTTCCCCATCTTGAGACACCCACGCTGCCGGCTTCTTGGTACTGAGACCTTCACCCCCATCAAGCTCAGGTCTAGCACCAGTTCATCACCGTGGCCCCTGGAGCTCCCCCAGGCCCCCTTGCAGCTGGGGGTTGTTCTGGCCTGTTGTGTTAGTTCTCTGCGGCTTAAACAACAGAAATGTATTTTCTCACAGTCCTGGAGGCTGCAAGTCCAAGGTCAAGGTGTCAGCCAGTTTGGTTTCTTCTCCGCCCTCTCTGCTTGGCTTGCAGATGGTCATTTTCTCACTGTGGCCTCACACGGCCTTTGCTCCATGCAGGGCCCTAGGTCAGTGGTCCGCAAACTATGGCCCCTTGAGTGTGGCTCTTCCACAAAGTACCACGTGTGGGCGTGCACGTACAGTGCCATTGAAACTTCGTGGCCACACTCAAGGGGCCAAAGAGCCACATGTGGCTCATAAGCCGTGGTTTGCCGACCACGGCCCTAGTGTCTCTTCCTCTAAGGACACCATTCACATTGGACTAGGACACACCCTATGACCTCATTTAGCCTTAATTTCCTCTTTAAAAGGCCTGTCTCCAAATACAGTCACATGCAAAGGTATTGAGGGTTGGGACTTCTGCATATGAATGGGGGTGGGGGGTCCCATTGTCAGGACCCCATGTGAGCATGTAACTCACACAGGGCCTCACCAAGCTCACCATCAAGTGTCCTTTACCACCCACACCCAGCCCCTCCTCTGCACACCCCACTTTCTTTCCCCTCTTTGCTGTAGGTGTTGCAGCTAGTCTCCTGGGGGTTCCCAGGGAGGTGGGGCAGGGTGGCCTGCGGGACTGGTGCCTGTGGGCCGAGGTGCTAGGCCGTTCATGGGCATCTCTCTGACAGGCCCCTGTGACTCGCAGCCTTGCCGGAATGGAGGCACGTGTGTTCCAGAAGGACTGGACAGGTACCACTGCCTGTGCCCGCCGGCCTTCAGAGAGGAGGCTAACTGTGGTACGTATGCACGGGACCTTCAACATGGAGCGTTGGGGAGGGGTGGCGTCCACGGTCCCCTGGCTCACCCCTCACCCTGGAGCTCCTAGGAGGAAACTGGCCCTTGAGTTTAGAGCCACCCACTTACCAAGGGCCCCGTGCTGTGGTGTCTCATGGGATTCGGCTCTGAGTCTCCACGAATGAAGCTCTGGGTGGGACGGTGGCTCCTGGCTTGTTAGCTTCCGAATGGTCACTGCTTGACATCTGAGCGTCGCCAAACCCAGCTGCAGGCTGGAGCCAGCCCAGCTCGGACCTGGTGCTGGGCAGAGCCTCTTTTTTAGGAAGAGGAGCCTCAACCCTCTTTGTGTGTGTGTGGTTTTCCTCTTTGGTTTTAAAGGTATGAAATAGAGACTAATAGGCGGCACCTCCTAGGGTTGTTGGGAGCTTGGAATCAGATTATGTACAGGATGGAGCAAAAGTAGGTTTATAGTTGTTCGTATGGAAAAGTAATACAATCATCAGTACATCATCATATAAGAATGAACTCTGTGTTTTGTGTACTCACTGCTGTAAACCTACTTTTGCCCCACCCTGTATGTTAAGTGCTGAGCACTCCGTAGGGGCTTCTTTAATGACTTCTATAAAAACGTAGTGCTGGGTCAGTTGGAGATTTACATGGAAGACCCTCTACCTCACAAGCCTCACAAGTGTCAGTTCCAGAAGGACCATAGATCCGAGTGTCAGAGGCCACGCCGCGAACCGCCTGTTTTCACAGAGGAACGCACTCCGTAGGGGCTTCTTTAATGACTTCTATAAAAATGTAGTGCTGGGTCGGTTGGAGATTTACATGGAAGACCCTACACCTCACAAGCCCCACAAAAGTCAGTTCCAGAAGGACCATAGATCTGAGTGTCAAAGGACACGCCTGAACCGTCTGTTTTCACAGAGGAAGGAATGTAGCTGCAGGATTTCTCAAACAGGACACAGAGGCACTAACTGTAATGGGAGGCGGGGCGTATAAAATAGGTTGCGTGTCAATTTTTAAAAATATATATTTTTATTGATTTCAGAGAGGGAGGGAGAGGGAGAAACATCAGAGATGAGAATCATTGATCGGTTGCCTCCTGCACGCCTCCTACTGGGGATCGAGCCCACAACCTGGACATGTGCCCTGACTGGGAATTGAACCGTGACCTCCTGGTTCATAGGTCAATGCTCAACCACTGAGCCACTCCGGTTGGGCTTCATGTTAAATTTTAAACAGTGGTTGGGTGGAGACCCTTAGTGAGAGCCAGAAGGGAGAGCTCTGTGATGTGCAATGGTCACAGCCCCTGCAGCCTCAGTTTCTCCACCCCGTCTCTCCCCACCCCACCCCCAGAGAGTGGTTTCTGCTATCTGGTGTGGTGCTTGGGCATCTCGGGTGGGACGGTGACCTGCATGCCCCAGGTGGCCACGGCGTGACGGTTGCTGTGATGTCGGCAGCCCCGACGCTGAGCCTGGCGTGCAGAATCGACGTCCTCTTCCTGCTGGCCAGCTCGGCAGGCACCACGCTGGAGGGCTTCCTGCGGGCCAAGGCCTTTGTGAAGCGGTTTGCCCAGGCATCACTGAACGAGGACTCCCGGGCCCGCGTGGGTGTGGCCTGGTACAGCGGGGAGCTGGAGGTGGCAGTGCCCGTGGGCGAGTACCTGGACGTGCCCTGGCGTGCAGAATCGACGTCCTCTTCCTGCTGGCCAGCTCGGCAGGCACCACGCTGGAGGGCTTCCTGCGGGCCAAGGCCTTTGTGAAGCGGTTTGCCCAGGCATCACTGAACGAGGACTCCCGGGCCCGCGTGGGTGTGGCCTGGTACAGCGGGGAGCTGGAGGTGGCAGTGCCCGTGGGCGAGTACCTGGACGTGCCCGACCTGGTCCGGAGCCTCGACATCCCCTTCTTCGGGG